CCATTACACATGTGGGGATACAAAACCAGTATTATACTTTAAAATACATAAAGTAACATTTATTACATAAAACACAGACATGTAACATATCCCCAGATAGCTCAGGTCTGAGCGCACATTATTAAGCGAATGGCGCTCAGACCACACGAATACAGTTTAATCGCCATGGAGCCAAAGTCTTTACAGTCAGTTTCATACGAATGGGCTCCATGGGATTCCTATCTGGGGTATAACACATTCAACCAAAACTACTTCGCGCAAAACTGTGTCCGATTTTAGTTCCATGAAAATGGGGAGAACACCGCTGTGCATTCGTATGTTTAAAATGGCCGCGACCTCGTGTTCGGGATACGAATGGCGGCCACCCAGCATTCGTCAATTAAGCTGCGGTTAACCGCAGCTTCAGGGAGGTTAATTGCCGGCACACTCCAGCTCCCAGGTGGTCTATTCATTCGTGCGGTTGTTCGGTAGATTGAATCTACCGAACAACTGGCAGAAAAGCACGAATACAGCTTTTCTCCAGGCGAAATAAAGTCTTTTAAAAGGGGGCCATAGTCCAGAGGCAGCAGGCGAGCAACCAGGCTTCTCCAATGCAATGTGGCGAGATTGGTCTCATCACAATGAATAACATTTTTTATCTTCTCAATGTCTCATAGACTCTCCCATAAACCAGCAGTCATTCATACAGTTTGAGTGCGCAAATATCCTTCCGCCGTTGTTTCACAATTACACGTAGAGTCAGAAGCCTTATACTTTGCTGTGTGTGTGCTATCTAAATCTGCAAACATTAAAATAAGCAAGATGTGGTATAATTTACCTCCTTGGAAAAACAGGGACTTCAGAGAGTTAGCAGAAATAAACTACACGACAACAAGTCGAAAAGAATAATTAATTTCTATGTTAACTGTCATTGTCATTAAACAAAAGGATAGATTATCTCACAGGAATCAAGCAAGCTTCTAAAGACTACCTTCATAAAGATATGCAGTTCGACTGGACCTCAGCACAACCACCAGAACACAGCAGTGGTTTCTTCAAGGTGGTTCAGAGACACAAACATCACACACATATGGTGAAGAGGTAGCAGAATGTCAAGCAAGCTTCTGAAGATCACCCTCATAAACCCACTCAGTCTGACTGATCCTGAGCACAACCAATAGAACACAGCAGTTGTGTCTTGAAGGTAACTCAGAGTAACAAACATCACACACAAATGGTGAAGCAGTAGTAGAATGTCAAGCACACTTCTGAAGATTACCTTCATAAAGACTTGCAGTATGACTGGACCACAGCATTACCAACAGAACACAGCAGTTGTTTCTTGAAGGTAGCTCAGAGTAACAAACATCACACACAAATGGTGAAGCAGTAGCAGAATGTCAAGCACGCTTCTGAAGATTACCTTCATAAAAACTTGCAGTATGACTGGACCACAGCACAACCAACAGAACACAGCAGTGGTTTCTTGAACGTAGTTCACAGTAACAAACATCACACACAAATGGTGAAGGTGTAGCAGAATGTCTGGCATGCAGAAAAAAGTTTAGCGTGTTTCCCACAAAATAATCTGCGTCTCTATATGTTATTTTGGCCAAAGATTCTATCTACAAATAAGTAATACGATGGTATCTTTCGATTTTGATTAAATTCTTATGAAATTTATTGGGAATCTATTCTTCTATGAATGATGTAAACAATGGTAGGGAATACAGAGTACCCTCCGTACTTTAAGTAGGTAGACATTTTACAGAACCTAATATAGCTGTTAGAAATTGTTATCAAGGTTCGCCTACGCAGGTTTATTTAAAAAAAAAAAAAAAAAGTTAAAACTAACTAAAACTAACCAATTACAATAAAAGAAACCAAAACCATTTCATCACTATGATAAACATCTCTGTAATTTTGTGCTTGTGTGAGAAGGAATAGGATTAATCCAGTATGAGCTAGTTCCTTTTAATAATACGTTTCCAGTAGCTTTGCATCTTTAATTAAGTACCTACTCGCGGAGAGTCAAGGGATTTACATACTTATTCACTGCAGAAGCAGAAAGTTTCTTTATCTGAACTTTCAAACCCAGCAGCAGAATTCATGTCTGACTTCTGCAATCTCCACTGGAAATTCAAACAACTAATTACGATCAGTCGCAAACAGGTTAATTTCTATAAAAATCTATTAAAAGTGATAAAGGGTTAACACAGACCTGTAAAATATCGATAGCCAAAAAGACATTTATTTAGTACTTTCTCTAACGCTATGTATTGTCCAGTGAAGAGGCAGATAAATAGAATTATACAGATAATATTTCAAAGGATTATGAACACTATCATACAATGTTAATTCACCTTTATTGCAGTCAGTTTAGATGAGATATGCAAAGAGATGTCCCACATTGTGCGATATGTGAAAATCGGGACAAGGGTTACAAATAAATACATTTTTTGAAGACAGAGTTCCCAACACCATAACCACTACACCAAACTGCCAAAATGAAATATTCTCTTGCTTTTTTAAATGTATGCATGCCTTTTGCCATTTGCCTTTTTAAAAACCATTTATACCTTGTGTTGATCATCACAAAATATCACCGGGGACTTTAAGGAACCATTACTTGTAAACAGTTGGGAGCTACCGCACAAATTACAGAATGTGATTGGCTGCTGGCTACATATGATAACTAACAATGTTTATGATGGCCAGGTAAGATAGCTCAGTAGAAACTGTTTAACTCTTGGGGGTTGCAGGTTCAAATCCTGGCAGGGTTAACTCAGCCCCTTATCATTCCAAAGTGGAAACATGCGTTGAAGTTTGGGCAAAAGATGTTATCTATCCCCAGGACGTAATTGGAGACCAGCAGAATGTATCTTTTCTGGTTAAATACTTTATTATTATCAGAAAATAATGACAATAATTCAACAATGGCCACCACCACACAGAAACTCTAATGGCACTTAAATATGTAACTTCAGCTATGCAATGCTTAGAATAAAATAAAAATCAATTTGCACTTTTATTTTACACATATATATGACAAGAAATGATCAGGTAATAGTGCTTTGAGCTCCCCTTTAAAGTATTAACCAGCTTCCCTCCCCCGTATATACATTGTCTCGGTATATAACAGTATGTCAATATATTGTATCAATAATTAGCTGTTATACAATAACTCTACGGAGACTACGGAGGAAAAAAAAACAAAGGAAAAAATTGCAGTACTTTGAATATAGTTTACGCCTCGCATATTCAAGCGTGATAATTACAAAATATTTTTCTGTACTGAAAAACAAAAGCATTGAGAGATATTGCCCTTTTTAACTTTCAAACTTTGGAGAAAAGCATCATTATGCAAACTTTATTTGACACTAATAGTCTCAAGAAAATAATAAGCTGTGGCATTTTGCTTAAGGGTAGTCAATAAATCATGGGATTACAATTCAGGTTGTTTGTACGTAGGTGTGAATGCTAATATTAGCAGGCAGATGCGTTCGTTTTGTGTATACGTAATTACACCTGCATCAGACTGTACTCTGGAGAGAGCCAGGGTAAAAAAGAATATTTCTTCTAGCCTGCCCTATTTTGGAAATGTGCATTGGAGGAAAACATAGCTAACCTCGTCTAAACTCCGGATCAGAATGTACGGGCGGCTTTGGGTTTGGCACATAGGTTTGAAGACGTGTCCATTTGTGTGTAAAATTCCAGGCAACGTTTACATTATGGAAGAAAGCTAAAATAGTTTTTCTATGTACATGTAAACATTTTTGAATAAGAGAGAATACATGAATTTGTTCAACCATATTTTGAACTCACATTTTTTTCTTTTTAATGTTTAACTCTGTGTAATAATACATAACAAAATGTATTCTGCAAAACACCTTGGTTAGACTCTTGCATGTGTCAAGGGGTCTTTATATTGTTGTAGAAGATGGTGCTGGTATATTAAACTATCTGTTGTTCTGTTGTCTACGGTGTAATGCATGTGGTGTATGTTTTACATGCATTGGTGGCCCACTGAAGTGACATGAGGGTCTCAATATTGGGTCCCAGTTTTGGGGTTTGGAAGCACTGTTTTAACTAGCAGTTTTTAGAACTGTACTGTATCCTTGTAAGTACACTTAAACTATCCGGCAACTCCAATCATGTCATATAATATCTGTGCTGATTATAGAATGCCTGGCCGCTTCAGACTTTATCTACTTAGTGTGTACAGTGGCTAGCCATTATATATTCCTTTCTGATAGGTATAGGTAAGGCATCAAATTGATGTCATCAATAGTAGAAAACAAAAGAAATACGATTACAAGTCCTAAAAACATTTGAGTTCAAATGTTATTAAATGAGTACTTTAACAGCAAATCCTACTATAGTGGTTATGGTGCCTTAGGTTCCCTGGGACCAATTCCCAGTAAGGAGTGAAACTGCTTGTGAATGATGTGACTCTAACATGGGTCCCCCAGGCTCTCACACTTCTTTTTTGGACTTTAAGGACCTTTCTTTGGACTCCGGTACACTTTAACGAGATAATGACTTCCAAGGTACACCTCCTATCAGTGGTTTATAAATGTTCCAAACACTTGCAGAGAGGTACACAGTATATTCACACTTCTATCAAAACTGACTCGTGTTTAATTAAATGTCTCTCTCTTTAAAGTCAACATACAGAGGTAATTCAGTCTATTAAAGCCCTGAAGTCAATGTGTCTGTGGTATAGTCTGAGATGGTTTGGGGCAAACTGGTCAGTCACAGCATAATGGTTCAAACCACAGACCGTTCTCAATGTAGTGCTTCTGCCAAAAACAGGACCTAAAATATCTGGAAAGCATGTAAACAAGTCATATTAAAAGATCAGCATGAATGAAGATATAATTGTATAGAATGCACTGGGCAAACTGCTCTACGATAATCTCTCTCCATAGAGCAAAACTAAGAATCACATTGTGTATTCAGGTTGAAGCTAAATATTTGTTTTTTCATTGAGGCCTTACCTCCCATCAATCCCTCAAGCAATGCTACACATCACACACCAGATCCCGCCACATATCATGCCACCAGATATGGGCCCCATCATCTGCCATGCATTGCTTCCTCCATCAACAGCAGTGTACATTTACCAAGTACTGCCCTCATCAACTGCCAAGCATTGCTTCTCCCATCAACGGCAGTGTACATTTACCGAGTACTGTCCCCATCATCTGCCAAGCATTGCTTCCTCCGTCAACGGCAGTGTACATATACCGAGTATTGCCCCATCATCTGCCAAGCATTGCTTCCCCGTCAACGGCAGTGTACATATACCGAGTACTGCCCCATCATCTGCCAAGCATTGCTTCCCCCATCAACGGCAGTGTACATATACCGAGTACTGCCCCATCTTCTGCCAAGCATTGCTTCCCCGTCAACGGCAGTGTACATATACCGAGTACTGCCCCCATCACCTGCCAAGCATTGCTTCCCCCATCAACGGCAGGGTACATATACAGAGTACTGCCCCATCATCTGCCAAGCATTGCTTCCCCCATCAATGGCAGGGTACATATACCAAGTACTGCCCTCATAATCTGCTAGGCAATGCCTTCCCATCATCTGCCAGACACTGCCTCCCCAAACATCCATCAGACACTGCCACTCCTATCAATCTCCTGGCACTGCCTGCCCCATCATTCATCAGACACTGCTACCCCGTCAATCTCCAGGTACTGCTCCCCCATCAATCCCCATGCAATGCCTCCCCCATCATCCATCAGACACTGCTTCCCCCATCAATCTCCATGCACTAGCACCTCTATCATTCACCAGAAGAACCACAACCAAGTTTAAAAACAATAAAAGTTCTGACAAAGATAGGCGTGATGTTCTCTAAAAGAGATAGCAATAAGAGTTTAGTAAATAGCAGATTCACATCTTCAATACCCCAGACTCTGGGATGAGACAATTGTGATGGAGGCACAGGACTCTGCACATCTTATCTTCACGGGCTGTACAAAGGTGCATTGCAGGGATTATCCAGCGCATAATCTATCTGTGTTCATATTGAGAGTATAATCAGCATAAATGCCAACATTTATTAATCCTGTTCACGTCGAAGGCCGCCGGAGATGAGGAGTTACACACAAGAGCACTTGGCATGAAAAAAAAAAGAAAGACATATTGATTGAAATAAACTGAAGTGTGAGTTTTTGCATTCACGTTCAATACATATTATATAGCTTCGCGTTCAGTTACAAAGCCTCCACGGGCAGCCAAATTCAGTCAGCCACTTGCAGAAATGTCAGATCGTGATCTTCACTTGATGAACACTTGTCTGTCTGATTTCTTTCATTTAAAATAAGACTTAAGGGAATCGTGTGTGCAAATGAAAAAAATCTCTAAAAAAAAAAATCTGTCCTTTCATATGTGTCTATGCACCTGTAATTATGCCTTGCTGCTAAACAAAGAGGAAAAATAATTAAAGAGGAGACTTTGAGGGTTGACGTGTACAATATGGTTTGAAAAGTATTTAATCAGAAAAAAGTTTTCCAACAGCTACTGTTGGAATTTAAACTAAAATAAAATGGGCCTGGTACTGCTGGGTTTAAAGGAATACTCTAAGCACCAAAACAACTTTAACTTAATGAAGCAATTTTGGTGTGTAGATCATGTCCCTTCCGTCTCACTGCTCAATTCTCTGCCATTTTGGAGTTACATCCCCTGGTCAGGATGTCACTCACACAGCCTGCATGAAAATTTTAAACATTAGATTTAATGCAGGAAGTTTAAACATTAGATTTATCTTTACAGGAAATGTGCAAGGAGACTGAGTAAGTCACATGCAGAGAAGGTGTGGCTAGGGCTGCATAAACAAAGTGATATAACTCTTAAATGGCAGAAAATTGAGCAGTGAGGCATGATCTATACACTAAAACTGCTTCATTACGCTAAAGTTGTCTTGGTGATTATAGTGTCCCTTTTAAGTAATTAAGATGATGGTTGGTAAATAAAAAGTGAAAACTACAATTAGGGTGTGTAACTTTCATAGGCTGGTTAGAGTAGTGGTAAAGTCACAGCACTGGAGCCAATTAAACAGGTTTGAAACCTGTCAGACCACCTCACCAGTAAGTGACAGTGGACAAGACATTTATTGATATTTATCTACCTACCTCAAATCCTCACTGATTGTAAGCTTGTTTGAGCAACATCTTCTTCATATCCCCTTTCTCTGATTGTAAATTGCTGTCGAATATGTTGGAGATATAGCATTGCTGATAATAATAAACCTAGCATAAAATAAAAGTGCAACACATACACCCAAAGGTCACACCATTGACAGGCAGCAGGAAGCCAGACAGAACTTACCTCCAACTGGTTACAAGCATACAGAACCTTCCTAGGATGAATCTAAATACCATAGTATGACAGAGCGCCTATGGCCCTGACCCTACGTATACCTAACATGTAATACAAGTGACCTCTAATTGTATTAAGTACCCAACGTTGTTACCACTGTTACTATGCTATTGTGTTACTCATTGTAAATATGCACTGCAATGTTCACTACTCAAGCTAAATAAAGAATATAAAAAATAAATTAAAAAAAGCGCAACACACAGCTATTTTGTTGTTGTTATCTATTTGTTTGTGCAAATATCTCTGTAGTGACAGCTTTGCTTTAATAGACGTGTTAGGAAATCATTGCGTGAATATGATAGTTGACACAATTTCTTACTTAAAATTCCAGGTGTAAATAATTATTAACTGTTTATAAAGTCTCCCAGAACAGTCTTGGATCCTCGTTACACCTCCAGCCCACTACCCAATAGAAATATTAGTTTCCCTTTTGGCTAATTGGTATGTCTAGAAATAAGTCTTCAATTCATCAGGTCTGCAACAGTAAAGTAGCTTTAAATAAAGTGAAATGCGTTGTGCCCATGTTAGTTAAGTCTGATGAACAGATCAAGAAAAATACAGGAACGGCAATAGAAATCCTGCACCCAGGCTGTAAATGGACTCGTATAGAGTTAAAACTAATTGGTATTAAAATAAAACAAATCAGCTTTGTAGATGGGATTTTATGGTCCCTGACACAAAACTTCCCTACTTTAAGACATTTCAGTAACACGGCCATAAAAAAATAAATCGAATCTTTAAACAGAACAATAAAGTATATTTATGAATGGTTAAAAATGGTAAGCTTGCAGCACAATAAAACAGCGATAGTAAACATGTTTAAATTCATGGCTTTTTAATGTCAAAAGCCTTCAAACCGTGACAATCTAGAATAAAGCTGTGGCTATAGGAAAGGAGGCAAGCGTATAGTCTTATTTATATTTATTTATTTTTTAAACCCCACTAATCACTAAATCCTGGACTCTGCGGTGCCTGTTATCACACCGGACATAAAACAAGTTGTAGAAATAGATGAAAAGCCCCAGCTTTTGATTGCGAATTTTAAACCCATTTAAACATTGGGTTTGTATTGATTTTAGAATTTTCTTTAAGAATGACAAAACTTGATCTTCGAGGAAAGCAGATGGGATTTTCCACTTTGTTAGGTCTTTTAAATAATCACTGTATACACATCACCTAAAGCATTTACCTTCTGAAAAAAAGCAATTTAGCAAAAATCCATTCGTTTTAGACCTTCAAGAGTAATTATATATATTGTACTTTTTAAACCTTACATCAAACCGTGGTTGGCCAGTTCTTGTGGATTTTCTCTTTTGTCAATTTTCAGTTTACACAATAGAAAGTCAATAGAAAACTCTGGCGCAGGGTTAGGCAACCTTCGACACTCCAGGTTGCGTGGACTTCATCTCCCATGATGCTTTGCCAACATTGTGGCTGTTAAAGCATTATGGCAGGTGTAGTCCACAACATCTGGAGTGTCGAAGGTTGCCTAACCCTGATTAGATTATTGCTAGGCATTTTTGGGTCACTTGCACACAACAGTTTGCCCACTCTTCCCCGCACTGATGTCATATCTCCCATTTTTGCAAAGTATGTTCTGTCTTCTGAGCCAGATTGCTCATAAGGTGGGTTAGGCTGCCACCAAGCGCCTGGGCTTAAGCAAGGTCCAACAGCTCTTCTGCCCTTCCGCAACAGCCCTCTACTGAACCCAGTTGTTCAGATTTTGCTTGACGCACAAGAAAACAGGCCCAGGAGGATATTTCTTTGTTAAGACATATGAATGCTTATTAATCCTACAGGTTTCACAACATATATAGAAAAAGAGAAGACCTTAACTGAACTTTCCTCTTGGATAGGTAGATATTGATGCCATTGTGTGTTTTCTTTCCTTTATGTCATTGTGCATTTCTGTCTTACCATAGTTAAAAAACCAGTAGGGCATATCATTTCATAGTCTGGTGTGTCACAGCAAATAGTAGGCAAAATAAATGAATTTCTAGATTATATACAACAAACAAAACAATTGCACAAACAAATGAACACAACTATTTATTTGTAAATTGAGTCTTTATGAGTATCAAAATAAGTAATAGAAGAAAAAAAACTGAAGTCAATATTCAATGCCAGCATTAATTTTCTTAAAGGGGAATTATCACTAGTCACCCTGAACATAGATGACAATAGACACTGGTATGTGGTTTACTTACTTCCACTGAACTATTGACACTTAAATAGGATTTACTGAGATGAGGGAATGAGGATTTGTCACATCCAGAGAAGGGATCTTTGTGCTTTAAAGTGACACTTCAGACCCCTAAAGCACTTCAGCTTGCCTGGATTGATTTACATGTGAAGAGTGTGTCCTCTTTCATTTTGCTGAAAAGTGCAGATTTTTATAGAAATTCCCACTTTTATACATTAACCTTGTTACACCTCCTGGCTGTCAATCAGGCAACTGATCTTGTTACTTCCTGGTTTGTTTAGCTCAGTGGAGCTAAACTAAAGAGACCTGCCTTACAAAGACTTCCCATTGAGCTGCATTGGGAAGTTTGTGATTGGACAGCCAAAGAAAGTCTGTGCTGAGTTAGAAGAGGTAGAGGGGGCTTGCAAAGGCTGCAGACAAGAGATCTGCAGCATTTGCAGGCTGTTTTTAGATATACTCTCAGTGAAAAAAATCTCATATTAAATACATTAATGTTTTGGTGTATATCCAATAAACAATGATTTTTATTTTTATTATTTGGGCAGTGTAGTGTCCCTTTAAGCCTCCTAACAATAATGGCAAGTGTTTAGACATGGGCTAGCTGAGCATGATGGGGAGTGGAATACGGAAGTGGCAAAAGGTTAGCAATGACTCCACTCTTAGCAGTAATAAGAGTTTGATTGCTCAACACACTGAGGTTTGTGAAAATAAAATGGGCTTATTATCAAAATAGTCTGCAACAATCAATACAGCTTTAAACAGTGTTTACAAATAATGTTAATTTTAAATGGAGCCACAATTAATAAATGTCAACCTGACAGCAACTAAATTAATTAAATGAGGAGTATTTTGCAAATACATTAAACTACAAATATGTCTCCTGTTACTTGTTTATTTAATTTGCTTTCAATATTTAAAACAGTTATGACATTAAAGGAACACGATAGGCATCATAACAACTTTAGCCTAACAAAGCAGTTTTTGTGTATAGATCTTGCCCCTGAAATTTCAATGCTCAATTATGTGCTATTTAGGCGTTAAATCACTTTATTTATGCAGCCCTAGCCACACCTCCACTGACTGTGATTCAAAAAGCCAACATGAATATAATGGTTTCAGTTTCAATCAGATTTAAACTTACTTTAGACGTTTTTATTGCCTGTTCTGTTAATTGAGCTTTAATCACACACA